ACACACACACACACACACGCCAAACATGCCATGTCTAAAAAGGTAAAAAATAAACTCACTGTTTCTGCTGAGTCATTTGCAATGTCTCATCAGCAGACCTTTAGATTTTATTGATGATCAAAAAACAGGACAAAAAAAAAAAAGGAATAATTTTAAGGGCGGATATGGATTTAGTTAATTTATGTCCGCCAAATTTGGGCAGTACAACACATCTGCTGACACCAGCAGTGTTTAATATGCATTCAAATGCAAGATGCTTGCTTAGTGAAAAGGGGGAAAATACTAGATTCAGCAAATAAGAAAATTAACTACTCTAAGTGTTGACTGAGCTTTAAGAGCTCAAATTGAAACACTCTCAAGGGGACACTGATAAAATAACGTGCTACCAAGTCTAGGCAAAACAGATGACAAAAAATTATATAAAGAACATTGCAATCAGATTTTACTTCAAGAGGGTGGATAAACTAACCATGTAGTTACTTTTGGGTTCAGTTTTGACAAATTTGGTGAAACCAACCAACCGAGGCTTAAACACAAAATGGATGCCAGCGCTATAGAAACAGGGAATGCTCACCTGAGTGAGAAATGTAGAGGTGATGCTGGGAAGCCAGCTGTGGCATAGCGTCTACACTCGAAAAGAAAAACAGCTTTTGTGGCCAAAGCAAGGGACAGCCTCAAGGGAACTTTTGTGTACATAAGGAATTTGAATTAACCATTAAAAATGTTTAATGGGAACATGCTTTCTTCTTCAAAAAAAACAAAAACAAAAAACATCAGCTACTCTGTGTGGCTCTGGTGATGCCCAAAGCCTTCCCCCTGACATCTGTGATAATGCCTGACATCCACGATCAACTCTATTAGATAAGACTTTAAGCACATTCTCTGTAATCCATTCACATGCAAAGCAAGTGCTGAAATTGCATGCACCTGTTTATGTTGTGCCGCGCGTTAATGGAGAGGGAGTGTCGACTTCTTCTGCAGAGGCAATGCTCCTTTTAAGGAGACTTTGTGTACACTTGGATGACTAAGGGGAGTTTGAAATTAAAACTTTCTGTATAAAGCTCCTTTGAAGTATTAGGATAAGTATTGACACTGAACTGCATAATCCCTGTGAGCGAATTAAAGACAGAGAGGGAAAGAGGAGGAACTGAGGCAGGTAGGTAATTAAAGGTTGTGAGGTTGGGATGGACTTACTGGCTTGGGTGTTTCTTTATCTTGCAATATGTTCATGTCAGTGCAATGCTACAAGGCTCAAAGCTGTGCTTAGCATTTATGTATGAATACCACTATACAAAGTGATTATGTCCGTATATTCTGCACTTTAATAGTACCGGCACCCGCAGGACTGGCAGTTAAAGAAAAACACAAAGCTGGAGGTGCAATAAAAAGAAGTGATAACTATGATACCATTTTTAAATGAATATTCATTTCAAACATGAAGATTAAAGATTATGTTGAAGTATAAAGCAAATGTTGTCCGTGCTTTGGATTTTTAGCAATGGGTTGTTTGCTACTTAAATGTTGGGTAAAATATGTTACATGCCAAAGCCAAATTGGGTTCAGTATTAGTATGCAAATTCATGGAATTATATGAAATCCAAATTGCCCACATAAAAAGCTGTTAAACAAGACCAAGAGTCATGCTAGCCGCTCTGCGAGGTGGTACTTTGGCACAGCAGTGCTTCGAGCTAAATGCTAAGGTCATCATGCTAAACTGTTATGTTTACCATGTTCACCATCTCAATTTACAATGTTAGCATTCTAACATTTGATACTTAGCAATAAAAACAAGCACAGCAGGTGCTGCTGGGAATGTTGTTAGTTTTGCAGATATTTAGTTGTGAACCAAATGATCAAAGTAACATTTCGACTTGATGATGGTGCTAGATTAGAACTGATCCTGAGGGGAATGTCTGTACCGAATTTCATGGCAATCCATCCAATAGTTGTTGAGCACAAATATGAACCCTCATGGTGGGCCTAGATCAAAATTCAGGGTCTCACCAAAGTCTATATGAACCATAAATGGCACTAATCCATCCAGTAGATGTTGTGATATGTCGCAGGACTTCTGAAAACTTGCTTAGCTGGTGGCACTAGAGGAACACGAGGAAATCACAAATCATTAGTATTCATCCTCTGTGCATCATGGATATCTGCACCAAAATCCATGGCCATGTATCCCATAGCTGCTGAGAAATTTAAGCCTGGAACAAAGTGTTGGGCCGACCAACAGACCAACATTGCCATCCCTAGAGCTGCTAGCATGGCTATAAACCTTGAATTTAATCGATATGTTTACAGATATATTTCCTTTTATGTATTGTTATGAATACAGGTGGTCTGAGCCTTGTTTCGTGGCTCAGCTATTCAAAATCTGACACTGGTAAACTCTAAAATATCTGTGTCCCGTTGACCTCACTTATTCATCTTCCTGGTTATTTTTCTTGTCATAAAAATTTAAAGCAACCTTGTGAAATCTTTCAAACTCTTCACAACAGTGTGGCTACCGGCTACATAGGGGCCGTGCACCGAATAGGGAAAGGCCTTAGACAAAGCGATCCGCAGTGCACCACCAAGTCAGCACAGTGTGCAGAGAGAAGAGAAACGGGGCGAGGTCTCCCTCGTCTGTTAGTGGATTATTGGATTTGGATTATCTGTGCAGACAAAATTACCCATTAGGGAAAATTGTAGCATGTTCTTTCAGAGGAGCTGGTGCTCACAAATACTTTCACCTCACACAACAGTGTGACCTGAACACCCCGGCTGGTACATTATGTACAATACAGACACTTGAGTGACCAGAATCAGCAGCCCACTGTTCAGAGAAATGCCTGAAGACCTGAACGACGCACACACTGGGGACTAAGTGCAGCGGCACATGTAGAGATGATGAATGTGTCAGCAAAGCAAGGCAGGATGTGCTCAGGAGCTGCTAATCATCACTCACTTGAGGGGTAAAGGGGTGGTGGGGGGGAAAAAGAAAAAAACAGAATAAGGGAGGGGTGATTTAGCTATTTTTATCTGGATTCCATTAAGACAGCTGCCATCCTGCCGAGTGTTGGTGAAACTTTCCTGCACTTTCAGTCAACCAGGAAGAGTGACAAGAAAGATGGACTGTCACTGTGGAGTTTTTTCTGTTATATTTGTGGTATAATAGAAATAAAAACAAAGACACTCTGCCTTTAATGCTTTCAAAGAGGCCAGTTGTGGAGTGGGTGCTGAAAATCCCATAAGCTCATCCTCTTTAGCTGAAAGCATTACAGACTTTGGGCTCTGTAACTGCCCGTGTGCCTCTGTAATCTGCCAATGTGTCCAACTGTAAGTCTGATCATCAAATAATTGTGATCATGTATATAATGCTCTCTCTTTAGAAAATAATACAGAATAGGAACATATCTAATTCCTCCCTTGGTTGACCAACCGAAAAAAAAAAACCATTTATATTTATGGCCAATGGCTCCAGTCTGGTTTTACGTATAAAAGAGTATTGGGGAATGTGGCCAGCAGGTGGATGGTTCAGGTCACATTTTATGACCCTGACATTCCCGTCCCACTTCAGACCAACCAGGACCTCTGCCATCCGCTTGGTGTCAGACGGGGTGGAGATAAGGGCCGGACAGAGTGACAGTGACATGCCCCACACACAGGCAGAAGCCGGGAAAGTAATTCTGTATATGGTGGCCAACACGCCACAACATCAAGGCTCTGACCCAAGCCATAGATCCCCAACAGCATTCTCCCACAGCCCAGTTTAGCTCCGAGTCAATGAATTCTTTACTGAAGATGGAGGACTGAGCTGCATATCAAGAGGGATTTAGCATTAATTAGTGAACCATCTAAACATGGCCTAGGGCTCGCTGCCATGCTTTTCTTCATGCCACCCTAAATTAAAACAGTTTTATATAACAAATATTCAGATTTTATTTCCCTCGGTATGAAGGAAATACCGAGCATAGTGATGCTGTTTTGGACTGTGTGAAGTGCTGTTATAATGTATGTCAAGATGTTTAAGTACAGGTTTTGCTATGTGTTAAGTTCAATAAAATGGTATACAATTCTTTTCGATATCTAAGGATGTGCTTTTGTTTCATAATCTCTAGAAAGAATCATTGAGCCATTAACATGACTTCATTAACAAATACAATTTAGAGTAGACAGATAAGTTGTTGGAGGAACTTAATTTATTTTCACTTTTTCATGTAAAAATATACATCAAGCGGGGGTTTACTGCAAAAATCATTTGAAAAATAAAATATAACTTTTTTTTTTCCATCTCAAACCACAATGCTTTTTTTGACAGTTTGTTTAATTTTGTTACATTTTCCATGGGCGTACATGTTTGACATTTGTCCATGACTGTACTGAATTAATTTATAAAGCCACGCTGAGGACACCAGTGTACATAATTCAGTGAAAGAGTGAGATGTTCAGAAGTTGAGCTCGAAAGTATTTGTGTATTGCTGTGTTTAAAGGTGCGGTAACAAAAACTTTAAAATGCTGGACACAAAATGAACCCCATAGGCCTGTAATCAAAAAAAACAACAACAATGTACTACATTTTCTGAAGAGGGTCATGGACCAGTTTACAAAAAGATTATTTTTTGTTTTTTATGGTTTTCAAAATGTAGTAAATCTGTTTTTTTCCAGGTACCTCAAACTACACGTCTTCTGCTTGTATAGATATCAATTCTCAATTCTCTTGTGTTCTCCCATGGCATAAACTTAACCCACATTAATATGTATGAATAGAATGAACTACACTCTGCAACCTGCTTGAAAACTTTTTTCTAGAATATACAAAAGTTTTCTACAAAGAAATGCAAGTTAATCTAGCTTCTTCTAATTCACTTTATTCACCCTTTTAACCCAAATGCAACACAATATTCCCTCTGTCCCTCCACCCATTGTGTGGCACAAAGAGCTTGATTGCAGAAAGTAGCAGTGACGTGGAGGTTTAATAAAACTAGCTTCTCCAACTGGCAAATGTTTGTGGACTTGATCTGGAGGAAGAAATGACAGACAAAGCAGAGAGGGAGAGATTATTGAAAATGAATTTCAATACTTGAAACGGCACTTGTAGTAGTAGTGTTACCACAAGACTTTTACAACTTTTGATTTGGTGTAATGGTTTTGTTATGAACACTGAATATTGGGTTTGAATGTAACTGGGGTTTTTAAGGAGATGAAGTGCTTCAAGAGGACAAACAGCTTCATATTTAAAATAAACACAAACACATACACACACAAAACAAATATTTAATTGTTTTTTTTCATGTCTTGTGTAATTTATCAAATATCACCGTAAATGAAATGGCACAAAAATAAACCAGTTCAGGATTCAATATGGTTGACCACAGTTGGTTTGCGACGGGGCGGTGACTTCTATTAATCTGTTGTCTAATTTTGATGTTTCGGTGGACAGCGATTTTGGAAATTTTGAGTTTCAGTAAAAAAATGATATATTGCATATCTGCAGGAAAACAAGCGACCACTATTTCAATGTCGCTGCAATCCCCCCCCAAAAAAATACGTACAGGTTAGCAAAGCAACACAATGAGCGTAAAGCTGAATGTATTGTAGTGGGAAGACACAAAAAGACAAACTAAAAACAAAGAATGAGCGAGAAGGATTATTAACAGCATGTGAACGTGTCCAGTAGGCTGAGCCTCGTCTCCACACACTCCTGCACACTTCAGAGTGCATTCCACTGGAACACACCCCGGGGAACGCTGGCTGCCATGTGACACACAGCAGCAAACGGGGGGGGGAAGCAGCATAGGAGGAGGAGAGGTAGGAAGCGGGATTGAGGGATGAGAGACAGAAAAGGGAGAGACAGTATGATGGGAATAAAAATTTAAATCGCAAGGGGGCAATTAGTAAGGAAGCCCTACTAGAGCGTTCAATCATGCACCGCCCATTTCAGGGACAGCGACTTTACACAGGGGGTCAGAATGATGTGTATGTGCAGCATTGCACTGTATTTGTTGTATTATGTATTCCAGCAGCTTTTTAAATGTGATGTATTATTCATTTTTTTAGGTTTTTTTTTTTTTTAGCTCAAGGTGGAAACAAAAAATAAATGCTTGAATTTCAATGCAGCAAAATAGCAATAAAGTTTAATATGACTAAGTGAATAAAGAGGAAAGAGAAATAAATGAAGGTAGATGAGGAGGTATTAAATCTGAACAGATTCTACGGGGAGCCGTGTTATGGAAGAAAGATGTGAGCTTCAGCAGAGTTCAAGAGCACCACAGGCACAATACACTGCTGCCAGGGAGAATGTGGGTCTGTCTACTCATTGGTTCACTCACTCGCACACACACACACACACACACACACACACACACACAAAGACAAACAAACACGTCAATTAAAAGTAAATGTGTTGACCACACTTACTGGTTTGTAGAGCCGAAGGTGTTTCCAGAGAATCCTACAAAAAGGAAATAAAGTGATCAACTGGGTGACATAAAACATCATGACTGTCAGTGTGTATGAATATGAGATGGCTATTAAACACAGAGGCAGAGAAGGTGTAGAAAGGTGAAAGGATGAAAGGGGTAACTGGACAATCTGAGGCACAGTATGTATGTAAGTATGTAAGCTGAACAAGTTAAGGAGACAAAAGAGAGGAAAATCACCCAAAAATAAGTGGGAGGAAGACGACGACATCCCTGATCTGCTAACAAATTTGGGTCATGCAAACTCAAAGGCCTGCCTGCATATCGTTCGCAGAGTAACACCTCCTGTCACTGCGCTGATACAAGTAAATGTATGGTTAAGAATCTTGGCTATATATGTTGTATGACGATCATTTGCTGTTCTGATTATTCATTTTGGGGACAAAAAAACTAAAAGAAAAGGCTGCTAAAGTTGTAGTCTCACCTCCTGCCTGTGGCTGCTGTCCAAAGCCAGAGAAGCTGCTGGCCTGACTTCCAAACCCAGTGCCCTGCTGGGCCAAGGCCCCAAACGATGGAGGGTTCTGATTGGCTAGAGCACCAAAGGATGGGCCGCTGGGAGGTGAGGCAAACCTGAAAATAGGAGAGGCAGTCAATGTGATATGGTATAGAGTCACAAAAAAACACTGAGTCGCTAAATTAAAAATAAATATCTGACACTGAGACAAAATGAGTGAATAATTGAACGCAGGGAAAAAGAGAAATGACTATGGTGCATATATATATTCTTTGTAAACATGCTTGCAAGGCAGAAGGTGTCAGATGGTGTTTGTGAGGATTGAGAGATGGGGGTTTAAACAGTAATCCCTTCGAAAGGACCCACGCCCATTGACTTCCGAGGTAGAAAAAGCAAAACACGGAGAGGGACACACAGAGAGAGAGAGAGAGAGAGAGAAAGAGAGAGAGCAGGCCAGTTTAATCTGCCGTCAGCAGTGAGATTATCTGTGGAGAATAATCTAGTCCTGCACAGGGCTCCATAGTTTTGGGCTCAGAGCCATGCTCACTGTAACAAAACACATGCACATTGTGGACACAGAGGGGTGATGAAACTGGAGAAATCATTACAGTGGAAATAATGGGAAGATAATATTTTTTTTAAATATAAATCTCCTGTGAGACTAAGAAAATGCGTGTATATTACGACAGTGGACTCAATAGTGTGAAAGTAGCCTCCGTTGGTCTCAGTGCAGTCTCCAAAACTCGGTTTGCATTAGGTTTATTTTTACCACATCTTTACTATAACGTTAATAGAGCGTTTAACAGCGTTGCTTTGTGCTTTATGTTTTGAGCGAGAGAGATCACACATGTTCCGATTCCAAAAAAAAAAAAAAAAAAACTGCTCCACGCTGCAGGCAAAACGCTGCTGCTCCTCTCCCGCCTCTGTATTACACAAAAAGCCTGGTGACACCGACAGAGAGTGACTGCACCAAAGTGACAGCCAAAAATAAACACTACTTAGTTTACTACAAAGTTGTGCCACAAAAACATTTGCTGATTTAGCCTGGAATGTCATTAATTTAAACCAACAAAAAATACATGCACCTGTAAATTAAGGTTGTCACCTTTTATACAAAATTGGGAAAAATTAAAAGTTCTAACTGTAATGACTTGTCCAAATTTGAAGTAGTTTGCCTGGTGGTCCAGCAGAGGGCGTTCCTAATATTTACAATCACTTGACCTATTGACCTATCAGTAAACTAAGCTAATTCATAAAAAAAATGAGCAGGACACTACTCATTACACTATATGGGTTGCATTTAAATTCATTCAAATTCATTTTATGATAATTTCAACATACAAAGGGTCAACACTGGACCGCCGGCTGCCATTGTCCCCCTAGTGCAGCAACTTTTATAGCCACTCCAGTTTGGTACTACACAAGTAAGGATCTGTTACAAGTTTAGTGGTGAGTGTTTTTTGTTTTGCTGCCCTGTTCTCTGTATCTATGCCTCCTCCAGGTACCGCTCTCCCCTCCGTGCTGTAGAGTGACTGGTCAGGCACACCAACAGTCGATTTGTTCATGAGACCAGCCGGCTTTAGAAACAGGAGAGCAGCAGGCAGACGGGGCCAGTGGGACAGTTTAGAGCCGTGTGTTGTGTTTAGGGGCGAGTATTGGCAAGAACCTCACGAT